AGAGATAAGAACAATAAGATAAGAACAAGCAAAATGAGCTAATCTAATCTAGATAAGGCTGCTGTTGCCGAACTGGGTAGGATGAGCATCACTGAATCCTTGCTGCTACTGGCGGTGGGCCCGGGGCCTGTTGCTGCCGGCGGCGATGGTACGTCTTCCCGAGGAAGGCGTCCATAACAGCCTGTGTGTGAAAAACCTAATTTTAGGATTGATCAATCTGTATAAATGGAGCTTAGCATTATACAATCCTTCTCTGCAATTACTTTTATTTTACACCCATAACCAGCATCTCTAGAATTATCTTACAACCGAAATTGAGGGAGAAATTCATTGTAGTAACATTAGGTTCAAAATCATCCCAAAACTAGAAGTTAGAAAATCACATTTCAATTACAAGCCCATTACTTGGATGGCCAAAAAGTTCAGAGATCAATCTTCTTGTTATTATGGAAAGGGGAATGGCCATCAGTGTAGAACAAGGAAGCTAAGTCTATTCAAGGGCATGCTATGACTACTTTTTCAGGTTCTTCACTGCATTCTCAATATATGCATGGCGCATAAGACCACATAAACAGAAATAGCATAATGTTCTCATATTGAATTCTGAATTTCTGATTAGATGGGATTTTCAATTCAACCATAGGAGGATAAATGGCTTTCTTGCAATCCCCCTACTAGAATGGATATGGACTCAAATTTCATCAAAAAATGGTGGAAAACTTGGAATGTTGTGCAATGGGACCATCATGTTTGTGTCATATTTCCATTTATGAGCAGGTGCCATCATATCCTTATTTGTTTAGTGAAACCAAGGGAGCTTTTCAAGAGATTACAGAACCTTAATTAAGAGGCATTATATGATTGGGGATATAATTAATTAACAGAATGCATTTATAGAGATCCCCTTAAAGTATGTAGACTGTGTGTGCCCTAGATGTACATCCTGTACACTGTTTTAATATCACTATAATTTTACCTGTTGCTGATTAAAAGAAAAACAACTGTACCACATGGCCATTTAAGCCAGACCAAGCACTTACCATTGTAGCATTAATTAGTCTCAAAACTTGTGACCCCCGTGGTGTAGAACCTAATTAGCTAATGAGACATAATATGAAAATACACCATGAAAAATTGTTACGGTTCAAAATGCCCATACCGTAAAAGAGTATTGAAGAAAATATACAGTGGCACATGTCTCGCAAACAAAGGGAAGTCCCCCGCTTCCTCTAAGTTGCAGAAGATTCAAATCAATAAAAACCGCCAGTTTCATAATTCCTATTCTAAAAAGAACAACAATAATCCAAAAATTTTCCATCAATCTCACTTATATTCAAGTTTTTATGGAATGCTGAACCCATTATTATCTAGATACGAAGTAGCATTTCAAACAAGTGAGCACAAACCAATCTCGATACGTCGAGGAAATACCAAAAAGTAGAACTGAGTGACTAAGTGAGTAAATTAGAGGAAGGGTGTTTTTGTTTGTGTCAATGGTATCCCGGGGATTACCTTGAGAATCCGACGGCGATCATCGTTACTGAGTAACGCAAGCTTCCGAGCCAATGGGAGGAGAATCCGACGGAGCTCAGAGGCTTTCGGGACTCCACTTATCGTCAGAAAACCAGGCCCCGACGGTCCTAGGGTTTCCATAATAGCTCTGGAGATGGATTCTAGCCTTTCGAGCTCTGCTGATGAAAGGGAAGAAGAAGCCCTAGAAGATGAAGAAGACAACAGTTTAAGGTCTGAGAAACGGACTTCTAACGGATCCAGAATCTCTGCATCTACCACTTCCATCTCTCTCTCTCTCTCTGTATGCACAGTGTGTGTCTGCTGGAATAGGTTGTAGAGTTTGAAAAACTCCAKACAAAAACAAATGATTTTCAGGCGGGTAGACGAGGTTGTCGTTTTGGGCCTATGTGCAAATATGGACCTATGTGCAAAGCTCGCAGAAAATCGGAAATGACATCTAAAGGGTCCCACTTAACAGCTTTTCGACAAGATCATTTGACTTTTTATCACTTTGCCAGTCAAATATTCTAATCCAATAGAGAAAAAAGGTTTGTCATGTGTCGTTTCAATGAACACTTTCAACATCAAAACAATGTGCCATTCAGGTTTAGAACTTTTTAAACACAGCCCACGCCCAACCCTAAGAATAAGGTTTAAGGCCTGAGCCCAGCCCGAATCCGAGGTCAAGCTCAAACTGTTTAAGCTAAGCTGGACCAGCCACATTGAAATTTGGGTTGTAATAAGGACAGGACAGGTTCGGGCGACCTAGGCCTAGGCCCATCCCGTAAAAAATTGTAAAGCCCAAACTTTTAGATACAGACCCAGCCCCAAGGATCGGAGATCTAAATCCAGCCTCTAGGCTCAAGTTGGGCCTGCCCAAGTTGCAGCCCTAGGTTTAGAGAAAGATTGAGTCACTCTGAAATAATCAGTGGTGAGGCCATTTGATAACAGCTGAAATGAATAAGCTTACTGCTTTATCTTTTATTTTTTTAGTAGATAAGTTTTTAAGGAGGTCGTAGGCTCCTGAATGGCTGAAGGTGAAGTCAGGTAGACTATTATATCCATGAACATTTTATTATCTACTTATTTTATCCACTAAAAAACAAGAAAAATAAGTCATTAACTTTAACTGTCATCAAACATCCTTAGTGCCTGTTTGGGAGGGCTGAAGCACAGTGGCTCCTGGTTGTCTATGTCGGTGATCAGCCCGTTGAAGGGCTGTCTTCTTCAGTCTCTTTGGATAATTTTTCACGACTTCTTAGGCCATTAAGTTTACCATCAACAAACATAGCTTATGTTATTTATGCAGCTGAACCAAAACTTATCTTATTCATCCGATTAAGTGAACCATCAATAAACATACCTTGTGTTATTTATGCAGCTGAACCAAAGTTTATCTTATTCATCCCTCCCAAACGGGCACTTTGAATATGCAAGTTTTGGCCAAACAGCTATTAATTTGGATTTCACATCTGCAGTGACATGTTTAACTGGAACAGTTCTAGGTCTGTGATTTTTCTTTCTGATTATTAATCAGTTCGAAACTGGGACCACTCTGTCACAACCCAGACCCAACCTGCCCAACAATCGAAAGTTAAAAACATCATAAATGTGCATTTGATTTGATAATTGGAGTTCAGATCACCTGCCAAATGGCAGTAGATGGTGGGCCTCAATTTTATAGTAAGATGTGTGGTGTCAGATCACGTTAGTAAAGTGTTGGAACGTATTTTGTTAACAGGAGATCCCAACTGTGATAATTGGCCTATCCATGTTTATGTTTATTGGGGTGGGGTTAACAAATGGCAGTAGATGTGAACCATGTGATATCTACTGTTGTAGGCTTCCACACTGCCAAATCAGAAATTCTATTCCAAGTACCAAACATCTTTATCATATAATGTTGATATTTGCCTTAGCTTCATGTTTAGGTTATGAAAGTAAAATTCAAAATATTTTAATGCTACCAGATAATGTTATTGTTTGCAGAATAGTAATTGTCTAAATATTTTAACTCTTTAATTTAAGGTCATGTTTGGTATTTGGAAAATAAGTCCAAAATAAGTGTTCATTTTAAAAATAATGGCTTATTTTTTAAGCCCAAAATTTCAGCATTTTCTAAGTGCTTATACAATAAGCACTTATTCAATTTTTTTTTCTTTCAAAATTATCCTTAGTTGAAATTTAAAATACCAATCATCCCTAGTTGAACTTTATAAAAGTACTTTTATGAAAACACTTTTATAAATGTACTTTTATGAAAGCACTTTTATGAAAGTACTTTTACAAAAGTACTTTTCTGAAAGCACTTTTTTAAAAGTACTTTTATTAAAGTGCTTTTACAAAAGTACTTTCACAAGGGTACTTTCTTAAAGTGCTTTTATAAAAGTGTTTTCATAAAAATATTTTTATAAAAGTGCTTTCAAAGGGTATATTTTGAAAATTTGAAAGAAAATGAAGGGCAAAATAGTCACAAATGCTTATTTAAGTGCTTATTAGAGAAAAAGACTACTAAACACCCAATATAAAATAAGGCACTTGAAAATTTTAGGTGCCAAATGCAAATAAGTGCTTATTCGAATAAGCACTTGTTTTTAAGAACTTATTCAATAAACACTTATTTTTAACTTAAGCACTCCCAAACATGACCTAAGACATTTAAAAAAAAAGATACAGAAAATAAAATGTTTTCAAAATGTAATTCTCATTTTTTTTTTCCTTTCAGCTCTAATTGCACAGATGCATGACAAGTGCCCTTACACTACTGCATTGATAGACAATTTCAATGGTAGGTGCCCTTATAGTTTTTTTGGAGAATGGTCGGTGATTCCCCACACCAGAAAAAATAACTGACTCTCGAGGAAATGATGTTATGAAATCAATTCCCCACTGTATTTGCAAGGGCTAATGAGAATATAAAAAACATATTAAATAGGCAATTTTATTCATCTATGCAGATTTAAATTTAGTTATTTGGGTAAATGAACCAAATTAATTTAGTGTAATTTAACTAGTTAATTTAACTTAATTGATTAAGTATGGTAAATTAATTAATTACTAATTTAATTAATCTAATTAAATACTTAAATTACATTAATTACTTAAGTTTTCAAACAAATCATTTTGCAATTACAATTAATAACTTTAAAGTAATTAATAAAGTCTTAAAAATACATTTAAGAGAAATTAAGTTGGTGTTTGGCATCAATGTTGTTTTATGAGAAAACGGTGCCATGTAGGTGACACATCAGAAAAGGCGATGCTTTAGAAAATGGCCTCTTATTTGGTACCATTTTTTCATAAAAAAAATGTTGCTTCAGAAATTGGGAAAGTGTGTTCTGAAGCAATGCCAAATTTGATATTTTCTCAAAAAATAGACCATTGCTACCAACAGTTCAATGTTGTGGCATCAATGTGGCAACATCTTGGACGTTGGACAATATGGCGAATGCTGAAAATGATTCTACAACACTGGTACCAAACAAAACCAACGCTATTTTCCCAGAAAACAACCTATGTGGCAGCATCGCTTCCAAACAAAAAATAAGCACCACTTTAGAAAACGGTGCTTACAACCCAAATATGCCAAATACCATTTTTTATGAGAAGACGGTGTTGTGTTCCCAATACTAATGCCAAACAGCTACCAAGTAACTTAACACATAATATGCACTAAGACATTTTATCAAGTGTATACTATTGGAGGGGTTGAGGGCAGGGAGGGAGAGAGGGTGGGGAAGGATGTTTGGGAGTGGTTGAATTCTTGGAGAGAGAAAGAGAGTGAGAGAAGAGAGAATGTTTCAAAATATTAGTTTGCTTTTGTTCTATGGAATTTGATTAAGAAGTTAAAGAGATGTAAATGAAAAGGTTTGACTTGACCCAAAAATTCTGGGCTTGGTCCTAAGTTTTGTGCTTAGATTTGGTTTGGGCCTAGCCCTACAAATTTGTAGCCCACGCTTTGGACTAATACTTTAGTCTAGCCCAAGCTCACATTAGGCTCACAAATTTTCAAGTCAAGTTTGGATCCAACCAAACTAAGTCTAACCTAATTCAAAAATTCAAGGCTTGGACCTGGGTATTTTGTTCAAGCTTGACCCTAGGCTTGAGTGTGCATTAGGTCCACAAGTTTCCAAGTTGGGTTTGTTTCCAATAATTCAATCCCAACTTGGGGATTGCTTTTCAATGTCATATGCACAACTAAAAAAGGTACAGTGATTGCTTTTCAATGTCACTCTTGTAACTATCAAACACTCAATGTGACAAATAATGATACTTTTTGTAATTTGTAAAAAACTTAAGGCGAGAAACAATGACACTCTTGTAATTATATGAAATTCAACCTTATATGTAGAATTAAAAAGAAAAAGAAAAAACAATGTTTGCTTTTAATGGCACTCATGTAATTAATAAAAGACTCAATGTACACTCTTGTAATTAGAAAAAAACTTAAGATAACAAATAATGATATTATTGTAATTAGAAAGTGTTTATGAACATCCATACACACCACTAGTAAAGGTAAAATATGTCATACATGCCAAAATGAATATATCATACTCATAAAAATTCGAAATATTCAAATACCTAATAAAATTAATAAATCTATAGGCTCAATTTGGAAGGAGTACAAATACAAATATATACAGTACAAATACATACAATATAATATAAAAAGCAACGTTTTATACTCTACAAATTTATATTTATACTCCTTCTAAATTGAGCTATAATGATATAATGATGAATCAATCAAAATCACCCTCCCCCACTAAAAATTTGATGAATACCCCCTAATAAAATAGTTGAACACAACACTAATACACATAAGGGTTGGAGATAGGTAGACAATCCAAAGTTCTATTCTTGGTAGATGACCATATTATCCTCCGTTCCTTACATGTGGCAGAAATATGAATGTTTCTGATACATGCATCTGTTAAAATTACCTGTTTCCATTTTCCAGTACTTTAAAATTTATCAAAGGTCAAACCATCACAAAGACCTTTAGCCTATGCTTGGTTACAATGCAATTTTATTTGTTCTAGTACAAATGCATGGAGGTACAAATGAAAATAATACAAATTCTGGTTTAATTTTGTTTTGAGTTTTTCTTTATTCTGTTTCAGGTCTTATTTTACTTCATTTGTATTGCAATCAAACAAAATAAGGTAAATTTTGAAATAAAAATAAAACATAATTTACACCAAAATCATTTGCACTACCATCATTTTGCATCAGTGCAAATAAATTCACATTGCAACCAAACACAGCCTAAGGCTCAGTTTGGAAGTAGTACAAATACAAATATTTATACAATACAAATACATATGAAATGATACAAAATGTAAAGTTTTGGACTATATATTTGTATTTGTACTCCTTCCAAACTGAGCCTAAGGCTGCGTTTGGAAATGATGCAAATAAGTGAATACAAATATGTAGTGTAAAACAATTCATATAAATTGTAAAATTGGGTTCGCTTTGCATTGACAAATTTACCTTCTTTCCAAACAGATTTTTAGCTGTAATGGATGCAAACATGAATTCCAATATAAAATAAGCTTTTTTTTTTTTTATCAAAAGCTCACTTGAATGCAAATTTACTTCTTTTTTATTGATGTACTTTTACATCTTATTATCAATGTAAATATGCATTAGTCTATCATTTGTCAATGCATAAATTTAATGTTGCCAAATACAGGGCAAAAGTGAACTAGAGTGCAAATTTACCCCAAACCGAAATTTACACTCCATTTGCATCGTTTCCAAACACAGTATAAAGCTCAGTTTAGGAGTACAAATATAAATATGTACAGTGCAAATACATACAAAATATAAGGTTTTGCACTTTACATATTTACAATTATACTCCTTCCAAACTGAGCCTACGTAGGAATACAAATACAAATATATAGAATGCAAAACCTTACATTTTGTATATATTTGTACTGTACATATTTGTATTTGTGCTTTTATCAAATTAAGCCTAAGGGACAAAATTTACAACCCGCAGTAAAGCATATTCGCCTTGTAATTTCCATGAAAACTCCCCACCCCAAAGTGTGTATTCCAAGGTTCAAAATAGCAATACACCGATATGGAATATCAGGTGAATCGATACAGCTTTTAGTATTTTTCTTATTATTTTCGCAATTCAGGAGAGCTGGTTTAAACCTCCTCCACACCCTAAACCAGTCAGACCCCGATACATCCACTGTAGGGGCGTATCAGAGGTCCTGGACCGATACGTATCGATACTTTGAATCTTGGTGTATTCTTAATTTCTTTTCAAGTTCAAATTTTCATCCTCTAGCATACAAATATCAGTAGTGGATCATCCATATTTCAGGGGGTAAGCACTAAGCAGGCTTAACCTCTGCACCTATGCCCTGTTTACAGAAAATAAATAAAAAAAAATGTAGCAAGTATCGATGCATCCGTTCCACTGTATCGATACTCGACATTTTGAACTTGATTTTTTTGTATGTAGAATTGGGATCACCAAATTGCATACAAATTTCTGCCCCTGTATTAAAGCAGAAGCCATTGAATGCCGTGCAGCACCCACTGCCTCGCATTTATAATACTCTTGCCTTCAGAAACTTCCAACCCAAAAAAACGCCATTGCTGTTGCTGCAGAGAGCGAGAAACATGAAACTGTAATTGGACGAGGACGGAGGACCGCCCCCCCANAAAAAAAAAAACAACTATGGGCCTCGTAACCAGATTTGAAGCACTAATTTTATAATGCATGTTGCGATGAAGATATTCGATTTCGTTAACCTTCTTGCTTAACTGTTGTCTCTTTGAAGCTCTTAGTCAACCAGATAGCAGTCTCCCTAGGAGAAACCTTCCCAGGCCCAAATGGTTTCAATAGTACCCCAAGCTCTTCAAACCTCTCTTGTTGCAACAGTCGTGCACTAAACTCAAGCAAGCCTTCCAATGCCTCAGCCCGTTGCTGGTATGATGAAGTATCAAATCGGCGCTGCCGCATATCTGATGACGCTCCGCTACCAACAGTTGGATTCATGTCTGAGCATTGACTCCCACCCTCTACATCAACAGGAAAGGCACCATTTCGAATCCCATTCCAGGCATCCATGAAACTTGGCCTTGAAAAGGTTCTATCATGAATTTGGACTGTACATTTATCCTTTGTGATTGAACGCTCACCACAGTATGGTGAGGTGGAAGAGCCTTGTGCAGACATTGACAATGTTCTGCGGATTGGAAATAGAGGATCTTCGTACGAGGCCAAAGGGAATTCAGCTATTCTGTCAATTCGTGGGGCATTGACCGAAACATCAGGGGAGTTTAAGCGTTGGAGGAGACCAATGTTTGATCTGCAAGGGGTTTCCAGAGTTGCAGCTCTTGTAGGCAATGGCAAGGAAGCTCGGCGAGCCGGCCGAGCAGATTTAGTTGCTGGAGTACGTGATGCAGGAAACTGCAAATAAGATCATATCATGCAATCAGAAAGCAAATAAGAGATCAATTCCCAAGATACAGAAGTATTTGAAGTAGAGCTACAATAGTAGAATGTAGGAATGGAAGGATCCAGCCCACGATGAATCTCAGGGCCCACTCCTCTGACAAAGCAAATACCATATATGGAAAATATGTCCTGAATAAGGTACTGCTTCTATCACCACCATTCAAGGGATTTTATCTCTATAAATAACTTCAGTATAATGAAGCTCACCGATTCACGATTTGAACCAATTTTTGATGGGTCTGTTCGTCTCCTAGGAGTAGCAGAAGCTTTTGATGGTGTCTGTCTTGGTGTCTTGGCAATATTTGTTTTTACAGTTCTCGCCTTATCAGCACCTGATAATTCTGCCAGCTTTTTATTCAGAAAACTTGGCAGCTCCTGTATTCTTCTTGTAGAACACACAGATTCCACCTCAGCTTCAGGTACGCTTGGATTCAAGATCCTGTCATTGCTGAATGACCGCCTTTTCTCTTTGGCCTTGAAAAGAACATCTTCTGAGTCTGGAAACCTCGTTTTCTTTGTGTAATTGGACTCAGGCCAGTGGGCTGACAAGCTATTCCGCCTAGGACTATTAATTTTCAGATGGACCTTAAGAACGYAAGGTTGAAGGTGTGGATGCCTGAGCAGATCTGCAGCCTAACATGTGGAAAACAGCAGTTTGAGAACAAATTCGTCAATACTTAAAATAATAGAAAAATACATACAGCAAGACATTAAAATATGATTAGTATGGACCATAACCTTTACTCAAAAGGCAGGGGAAGCAGTGCAATGGTATGCATTGAAGACTGAGCCATAGTTCTAGGGGTCAGTTCTGAGGGAAAACAGCCAACAGGAGATAAATAACTAGGAATTTGATTTTGCCACAGTTTATTTTTCTTTTTATTTGACTCTGAATCAATATGGTAGCACCCAGGGCACCACAGTCTCTTTACACATTTACCTCCAATTCTACGTTTTCAGGAATTCTTATACACATTTTTTTACCGAACCCCAGATTTCAATGTGGGTCCATACTGGTTTCAGAGCTGCTTCAAACAAATGCACATTAACTTTCAAAACCACATTTTTGAGGAATTGCAATAACTTTTTATAGGGAAGTCACTTAAATTCTATGGAATTGAGAGTGGAGAAAAGTTCAACTTTGGATCTGCTATGTGATTCAAACAGAACCTATAATGCAACTCGGCTGATTTCTTAATCTGAGGATTTTCAAAGAGATCCATCACATGGTAGCTCCTGTTATCTTGTAGCCTACAAATGATTGCTATACATGCATGCAGTGGAACATGCATAACCACTTGATCATGTAGGGGTTACCTAAGCATAAACATGCATTATTATGTTTGTGTACATACAAGTGGTAGTACATACGCTTGGCCTAAGTTCAGGGTTCTTCCGCAGCATGCTTTTAACAAGCCCCCGACTGAACATGCAAAGAAAGATCAAGACACACATTAGCAATCAAAACCAAAATATAAATAGGTAACAAAAGATCAATGGTGAATTAATACCTAAAATACCAAGGAAGAATAAGTAAAATTTATCCCAGTTCATACACCGCATACCATTACCATGAATGAATATATAGAGAAATGCATCTTCAAGAAGGGAAATGTTTCAAGGCCAAGGCATGAGGTTACTAAGACCTGTCATATGGTCCAACCACAGTCCTCGAGGAATATTGCATGGGGGCAAAGTGAGTTATTGGTTTTATGCTAGCAGTCCTCTTTCAATAGTTGTTTACAAAAAACTAAAAGGAATATTGCATGGGGAAAAGTGAGTTATTGGTTTCATGCTAGCAGTCATCTTTCAATAGTTGTTTACAAAAAAACTAAAACTGCTGCAAGTTTGATCTTCCACAAATGGTTTTTTCATGTAAAACTGGGAGAATCTGTCTGGAGAAAAATTACATTATCATGCTTTAATAAAGGATGAGAACTCACAAGGGCCCAGAATACATGGTAGGAAGTGGTGCCACTATGGATTTGTTTATTTTATTGATCAGCGCTTGCATATCCTGCTCAGAAAGCAAAATCAAAAGCAATATTCCATATAAGTTTCTTGGACAAAACCTGGTCAGAATCTTTCTTTTCTTTTTTTTTTTTGGAAAAAAATCTGCATATACATTCTAAGATAATAGAGAACAATGCAATTATAAGAGATAACTACTCACATCCAAAATGCCTAGAAGGGATCCATAAGTTGCACAAATATCAGGAGATTGAGTAGAAACACAATATTACAATGATGGATTTCAGTCTAGTGCAAGATCAGGTAAGATCATTCAGGCACTTTCTCTAAGCTACTTCTTTGTATTCATGCAGTACTCAAGAATAGAGTGGAAATATTTTAGTCACCTATACTATTTTTTTTATCAGTTAGTCACCCTATACTATTGTAGACTTGAAAAAATGTTAGGAAAGTCTATATACAGAACAAATTAATTTCATCCCCTCTTCATGTTACCATGTTAATACCATGGTGGTCCAAAATGTCAAAACAAGAATATGGAGACCATCAAGTTCTACATATCACTTGGTTTTCTGGTGGCAATGACAATGAACTATGCCAATAAAACTAGTTTGAAAAATCTTCTCCTTGAAGGGGATCAAGTTATGCTTCAATCGATTACCATTTTCTTGCACCATTGCCATGTTATAGCCACCATCAAGAAAGGGCAACTGATCTTAAAAAGGACATGCCCATTATAAATATAATTAATTATTCATCAAAATAAACTATCACAATAAAACAATGGAAACAAGTATTTGAACTAGGGTTGCAACTTGGGTGGGCTCGAGTTGAGCATTTGCTAAATTTTGAAATGGCCTGCCCCTGATGCTGTGTAAATTCTTAAAGTCAGGTACTCAACTTGTACCCTAATTTGGTTTATGGCGTCAATTGCATAGAAGTTGTATAATGTTACTTCAGAGGACATTAGCATTCAATACTTGGGTAGAGAAAGCTTGATATTTCTTTCAGTTGCTGCACTTTGATCTATTCTACCCATTCTTATTCCATCCCCTCCCTACTGCTTTAATGGGGGAGCCCTAAAAGTTGATACAACTGACATTTGATTAAAAGAGTGAAGAACAGATCAATTGATGGTATAGAAATAGAAGGAAAACTAACAAACTTCATCTCTAAAGAAAGACAGAAGAGATGAAGATTTTTGTTTCTTTCTCAATTCCCCCACCTTTATCCTATGTTTGGTTAATTATTATTTCTTGAAAATGAAAGAAAATAATCGATATAATGTCTGATAAAACTATTTGCCTTTTAGTAGGGTTAAAAAGGAGGTTCTTGCTCTTGTATCTTCTGTTAATAACATTTCTCATGCAGAAATCTACAAATCTTAGGTAGATAAGACTGCAATAGAAAGCTTCTATAACTTACAAATGCTTTAAAGGCGGGCTTGTGAGCAGTCATTTCATATATGCAGCACCCTGGATAACAGAATAAGAAATTCCTATCACATATCTAGCTAAGGAATAAATAACAAAAAGGCTACACAAGATTTTAACAGAAAAGTGTTACCCAAAGACCAAATATCTGACTTAGAACCATAAGGTATATCAGCAAGAAGCTCAGGGCACATGTAGCTGGGAGTTCCCACAACCTGCATTATGATAGTTTTCCTAATTAATTAGACAACAAAGCAATAGTTGGAACCTGATAAACAAACCCTTCCCTTCTGTCACAACTTACAGAGGAAGCAAGATCATCTGATGTCAGCATTTTAGCAAGGCCAAAGTCACCTGTTGACCAAGGGAGACGTTGGTTCAGCATATTTATAATGTTTTTAAAGATTTATTGTGAAAATAACTAAATTCACCTACCTAGACGTATGTCCTGATCTTTTGTCAAGAATATATTTGAACACTGAACCAATTAAGGAATAATCAGTACAAACCATCTTCAAAAATTCTAGATAGAAACACCTAATCATAATTTCAATAAATGTACATAAGAGATGCTTCTGACCTTTACATCACGGTGAAGAACATGATTCGTGTGCAAGTAATCAAGGGCCATTAAGAGTTGAACAAGCCACTTACAAAGTTTCTGTGCGCAGTTAAAATATTTAAGTTCCAACAAGGACTTGAAAATAATCATTGTTTTAACATATAAATGTGAAAAGTATAAACATAGAAACATTGTACACAATTTACTAGGTAAACAACCTCTTCAGGGAAATGAACACCATTTGCTTTTTTAATGGCTTCTGCCCTGTACAAGAAAAGGAAGAAGCATAAATTCAAGAGCTATACAAAATAAGCAGAAGATTTCATGTTCAAGATGTTGGGTCCACTATTACATAAATAATTGACTTTTATGAGATAGAATGGCTTACATGTCTCCACCCTCACAGTAACCAATGATAATGCAGACATAGCAACCCTGTACCAAAGGCGTCAACATGATCAAAAATGGAATCCAATACTTGTAGCTCATATGTGCTTGTTTAAGCTTGGAGAAAGGGATTACAATGAATCCTGCATGTGTTACGGAAAGATCCTTCAAGAAGGTTGTCTGCCATTAGACCTGTTCAAAGGCCGGGCTGGGCCAGGCCTTGCCTCTATATTAATAAAACATGTTAAGGCCCAAGCCTAAGCCCAACCCTTGTATAAAGCCTGAAGCCTGACCAAGAGGTTGGGAAAGAAGATTTATTTTTATTGTTATTCAACATAAAAACTGATTTATTTATATTAAACGACCACAAAACCCAAAAATACTAAAAGATCTCACTATGACTTAAAAAAAGAGAAGAGAAACAAAGAAATAAAATATTATCAGGTTGGGCTTGGGGTCAGGCTCGAGCCAAGCTTTTTTGAGAAAGCTTGAGCCTGGCCTGAAAAACGTCGGGCTCAATTTTTGGGCCCAAGCCCAAGCCCAAGCCCACAGGCCTAAAATCTTGTCCAAGCCTAACCATGAATGGGTTACACTTGGCCAGTCCGCTGGGCTACCCATCTCATGAACAGATTTATCTATTTTCCATAGGGGTGGCAATGAGCCGAGCTTTTCATGAGCTGCTTGAGCTCGGCTTGGCTCAATTTCAACCGAGTTCGAGCCTATTAGTGCTCGGTTCGTGAGGTTCGCGAGCTGGCTCGAATATATATATATATATATATATATATATATATAAAACAAAAATATTATAATTATTAATTATTATAATTCTTAATTTTTTAAATTTAAAATAATTTTTTTATATATAACTTTTATTTTTATAAAATATTTTTTTCTCAAAATCGAGCTCGAGCTCAAGGTTTTGGCTCGAGCCTTGTAGAATAGTCTCGAGCCGAGCTTGAGCCTGGTACTATTCGGCTCGGCTCGAATCCACCCCTAATTTTCCACTATGTACAAGGCAATAAATAATGTTTTAAGATACAATGCAACAAAATTTGCACTCACGTAGAAACCTTTCACTCGGAGATACCAGATAGAACTTGTTCAAGGTTTAAAATGTCAGTGCAAGTGGAAATATCAATCATGCAAATATAGGAAACATGTCAGAAATGTCATGGAATTATTGTAAAAGTTATAAACATAAAATGCTATTTCATGTAATGACAAAAAATACACAAGTAAACCCCCTTTAAGTTTTAATTATTTCTTGTTTCAATTCATCTAACCAAGCTAAGAAATTAAGGTTAATAAATAATACGTTACATATTGTCCTATAAACTTCAAGAGTCAAAACTATGATATAGTGAATTCAACCAAAATTTTAACTCATAGAAACTGCAAATGATGCTAACAGATCAACCAAATAATTTATTATATAATAAGAATTAAGGGTCTGTTTGGTTAACAGTTGGAATCGGAATCGGAATTGGAATTGGAATCAAAACCCTCCGGAATCAGAATCGGAATGATCTATTCCTATAGTCTGGTTCAGATAATAATTGGAATAAACTGGAATGGGATTTCATTCCCAAGGGAGGTGGAGGAAATGACCATACCCTCAAATGGGGGAATGTCATTCCACCAGGAATGGGTATGGATTCCGATTCTGCCCAACCAAACAGTAGGTATCGGAATGGCCCATTCTGATTCCGATTCCTGATCCCTATTCCCGCGATCCAAACGGGCCCTAAGATTTAACTCCACATTTGAAATGAATTTTGAGCTGGATCAAAGTGGTAATCAGGTCTACTAAGGTGGACAATAACTCTACTACTCCACATATCTAAAATATTATCACCAATCTGTGTTACTCTGTATACTGCCAATAGTTTTCGTTAGGGAAAATGTCAATTCTAGTAATGTTTTGTATTGATACCCATGGAAATGAAAATGTCATAGAAGTACTAGGACATATATGGACATTTTAAACCATGAACTCATTCCACATGGAAACTTGCATCCAAGTAGGGCTACTATTCAATGAAGGTAGGGTTGCAACAGGATCAGATTCAGCAAAAATCTGAGTCCGATCCAATTACTGGAAAATTACATCCAAATCCGATCCAAAATCCAATCAGATTTGAAGACCTCATATTCAAATTCGAATCCTAATAGACTCGTATCAAATTCGAATTTAATCCAACTCCGCTTTAATTTTTTAAAATATCAAAAATTTAAAAATTTAACTACTTTTCAACTTTTATATATAATAAATTAATATAAATATAACAAAATTTATTTTATATATAATACAATATATAAAATATATTTTTATAACTTTAAATATAATTATATAAAATTTATATATTAAAGTCAATAAATATTATAATATAATCGGATTCGGATTTTAATTGGATAAGATGGGGTCAAATCCGAATCCAATCCAATTACATAAACACATCATCCAAATCCGAGATAATCAGATCGGATATTGGATATTGGATTGGGCCTCAGAATTTCGTGTATCATTGAAAAGCCTAATGAAGGGTCTTGGGAGAGGTAGATTGCATACAAACTTACAAAGTGCAAACGTAGCCTGTTTTTGGCATGAAGTAGCCACTCTCAAACTCAAACATGCATTCTTATGCTTTTCAGAACAAGGTTTACCATTGCACCAAGAAATGGTAATTTTGTAAGATTGAACCCCACATAGGATTGATGGAAAATGATAAACAGTTGCATAAGCAGCATACCAGTCACATAAAGTTTTAAGGAACATCAAATTTAGTTTCCAAGGACACATAACACTTCATTTAATAAAAGATAAAAAATCCCGCCATGCATGCTGTAAGGCCATTTCAAAGATGGAAAAGAAAATGTGTTATTATCAAATAAATAAAATCAATAGCCCTAAATAGTGATTTCATAAAAGAACGTTTGCTAACCTTTTCCACCCAAGAATCTTTGTATTCTACAATAAATGGATTCCGTACTTTAGAAATAAGCTCCATCTGCACAAGAAAAAAAAGTCAGCAGCTTTTTCTGGTTAGCAAAGAAGTCAACATCTTAAAGCCTAAAAACCTGAGGAATTCAGATATTGGCTTAAAATTATAATTTCTTTCAAAATAACCTTATTACAAAATCAGTTTCTAATAATTCTATGACAATAGATCACCACATCTTGACCTAAAATCTAGACAAACAACTTAGAGGATACCTAGGACGGCTGTTAAAATTTTACTGGTATGTATCTCTAAGCAAGTTCAAATCATGAAATAGTATTCCTTCTACAACAGTAGAACTACATTATATCTGTGAATTTCAATATTTTTTTATATAAGATATCATCTACTTCTAGCAACAAGAACAAAGAATCTTTGAAAAGGTATACCTGATCCAACTGGAAATTAAAAAAAAAAGGACAATCAAAAATATAATTAAAGTTAACTGACCTCCTGGTGGGCTGATCTTCTGCATCTATCCGTCTGGCGAGCAAGACGAATCTTCTTTAGGACATATCTTCAACGTGAGAGGGAAAATGTGTAAATATTAGTTCACAAATCCAAGGATCCATCAAAAACTGATTACTAATTTTTAGTCGTACCATTCAATTCCATAAGTAAAAAGCATAAGAAAGATAAAAATCAATGTGATGTACAGCTACTGAATCCTTACCTTTTCTTTTCATGCTTATGTCTCACAAGAAGTGCAGAACCAAAAGCTCCTTTTCCAATCTGTTCTAGTATTTCGTATTGCTCCATTTTAAGTTTTAATGTCCTTTATCCCTTCCAAGTGGTTTCAATCCTAGCAAAATAGAGTCGAAAGAGAACACAAGAAACTTATCAATAATTTAACAGGAGAAATGTTTTACCAAATAGAGTCAAAAAAGAAATGCAAGAGCACAACCCAAAGAAATGCACAAACTTATCAATACTTCACAGGGGATATATGTTTTACTAATCTATCTAAAACAACAAATGAAAACTACTTTATCTACAAACTTGCTTAAGAAACACAAACCTACCAAAATATAAAGACTGTTCCAAAGAAAAAAGGAGGGAGAAGGGGAAACTGGGAAAGATGGCATAAAATGGATGAATGAGGAAACCACCCAAGTCCAGTAAACTCAAAGGATTTGCCCATTCAAGGAAACCAATCAGAGTCCCTCAGGTAATCAAAGAAAATGCAGATTGCTCTCTAAAGCGGATAAGTAAATGTACACACTACTTCACCAATACAGCCAGCCAGCCAGTCACCCACCAAAAAGAAAATATAGAAACATAAGGTGGTATTTTGTTCCTTCTCAGCAAATCGACCACCAAAGACGCAGAGAAACCCTAACAGTGCGCCAACCTCTCCGGGGAATACATCAATACATAGCTACGCGGACTAACTATATTAAGACCAGAATAAGCACATTCACATAAAATGCAGAATTCTCGGAAACAAAAGAAAACAACTCCTCCAATAATTTCACTTGAAAAAACTCAACAAAAGCTGAACTCAGCAACCAAACACASGTCTCTAGGAATCAAGAAAAGTTAAAAGAAATAACAACCAGTAAGAGTGAGTAAATGCATAACCCCGGTAGAGAAGCAGTTGCAGAACATTCAAAAAGAAGGAACAAAATCATGGGAAGAAAGACAAAAAACATCCAAAATTTCACATATTAAAAGCGYACATTTCTCTGGAAGAACGAAACAGAAGCTCAGAAAAGCACAAAAATCCAAATATACTTGAATCTCTTCTCTCACGCAGATCGCAAAGGAGCCTTCTGGAGCAAATGCACGCCCAAGGTACAGAAGAAATTTAGTAGACAGTGAACTACTTGAAGGCATTTGAAAATTACAGCAAAGCAAAAACATAGTCAAGAGTAAAAGAGAAGTCAATCAAATCATCGCATCCGCAGATTCACAGAAGAGAACCAAATAAAGAGGAGAAAAGAAAAGAAGGCTCACCTGAAATCAGGCACATTTCGATCAACAAGATCTTCGAAGAACTAAAAGAAAGTGGACATTTGCAGAGATAAGACGAATTGGAACTCCCGAATGAGCTCTGCGAGATTAAAGAGTGAGAAATACAGAGAGAGAAAGAGAGAGAGAGAGAGAGAGAGAGCGCGGCAAATATAATAATTAAAAAGAGAAAGTGTGGTGTTTTCAGGAGTTCAAAGTTCAAACTGTAAAAAGAGAGAAGAAAAAGCTTCGGATGTTGGGAGGTTCTATAAAAGAAGTACAGAGAGAGAGAGAGGGAGGGAGAGAGGGAGAGAGAGAAATTTGGCAGCTTTCGTGCCTGCAGTTGCATGAAGCCATGAAGACCGACCGAAAGAAAAGAAAGAAAAAAAAAAAAAAAAAAAAGAAAGGAAAAGTGGACCCCACGGCCTCGATCGCAACTACTCGATCACGACTCACGATTCACGAGCTTTCTGTTTGGCCCTCCCGGGATTTCTTTTGCATTATGACCAAAATGTCCTCCCAATCCCAAACACACCTCGTGAGTGTCCTACTTTATGCAAGGACATTTTTGTTGATTGATCGTATTTGAACCAGAAAGTAAGCGGCAATCTAGGTATTCTTGAAGGGCATTATAGGAAAAAAAATACAGTCAAATTACTAAACCAACCATATTAGGATCATAAATTACAAATGTTAGCTTAAGCATACGTATGTATACATATAATAAGTCACAGAAGATTAGGCTTATTTGCTTCACATTTAATTTTCTGAATTAATTGAGCGGCACACTCTTTGTCTTCTCCTCCCCCACTATTTATCTGCCCGGTGGCTGGTTTATGATATTTAATGAATTTATGGATATTTATTAATGTAATAAGCTTTTTTATAATAAAAAAATTGGGATAAATGCATGGGCTTGGATTTCAATTGGGAGGCCAGACTCCGTCTTCATGCTTAGTAGATACTTGTATGGCATGAGTACAACATGGGAAAAAAGTCGGTGTACGAATTGATTTCAAATTGCAATAAAGAAATTGGTTGAACTTTATTGGCACAGTAAAAAAGTTAGGTTAAAAATGTATAATGTTTAATGAATCATTTAAACAAAAATATCATCATTCCACTTATTTTTAAGTATTTTGTCAAGAAGCGCTTATTATGTTTTTGGTCTGTCTCACACCACCACATGATTTTCAAAATATCTCTACTTCTCTACTACCTATTTCAAATAAATGTTTGCTATTCCACCAAACATTTGTAAACACTTATTTATCCAATTATCACTCCCAAACAAGTCTAAGCCTTCTATATAGCGTTGCTACATGAATCATATTTGGTCAAATATGTTGCCCAAAAGACATAATGATTGAAGGACTTATACCCATATAACTGGCATCATAAAAATGGTAACCTAAAGTGAGTTTTCATCAAAATTCACTGGGGGGAGGGGTTGATAGGTCAAAGCCTTTTCAGTATCATATGTCTTTCCGACACTATAGATTTTCCATTTGAAATATATATGCATGCATACATTCTATTAAGATATGCATATTTATAATTACAATCGCATTTTTATATTACAAAAATATATTAAAAATAAAGTACTTTGTTTTTTTGAAAACTTGTGTTATTAATCTATCATTCATTTTATTCAAAAATTCGAAAATATGAATGTAATACGGTATTATGTAAAATTAAGCTTAAAAATAATAATCCTTCTTGCAAACTGGAAAGTGTCCATGGAAGAACTTTAATATTTTAAAAGAGAACAACTTGGTTTTGGGGGCAAAATACCTGTATACAGATTTTGAGGCCCCATAACTTGTCACATATGCCCATGTATTATGAATTGAGACCCACTAAACTAAAACAATGGGCTTTCCAAATACCACCTTAATCAGATGAGTTTTAGCCATCTGAATTGAATATTATTTGCATTTGCAAAATTGCTTTTTCTTTTTTCTTCTAACTTCAAAAGAAACATTTTCCACCATCTTATAGGAGTAAAATAAGAAGCTTATAAACTTCTGTGGGTGCTATTATTTTGCAATGTTAAACGTCAGACCCATCTAATGGTAGGACCCAATATGAAAACATAGGATATGTAGCAAATTATGTGGGCCCCAAACCATGTATGGGCCCTGTATCTCCAATTAGATCCAAGCTTTAACCATATATATATATATATATATATATATATATATATATATCAATTATTCTTGCTGGTTTGTCCTCTTCCAAGTATGGACATTATGTATATTCTAGATCAGTTGAGCAAGGGGTTTATATAATAAGGTAATAAACAAAAGTTATCATTTGGATAATACAACTTAGTATGCAATAATGCAGTGTTGATTAATAAAGAGACTATTTGAATACTATTTCTGTGTTTAAGATGCGGGTTGGTGATATCTTGGGAATTAATGGATTATAAATTGTAAAAAAAAAGGGGTTTAGCAATCCTAGAATAGTTGGAGCTGAAACAACTTCTACTTCTACATGTTCCCCACTCCATCCTGTACTCATGGCTTTGTGGGAGAAATTTGAAGGCTGAAGTCCAATACTAGGTATTAAAGTTGTCTTGGTATCATTGTTGTTTTTATCTGAAACATTTTGGATTGATCAATACAATTAGTTGTTTCTATTTGGATTGGTCAACACAATCAGTCTCACATATGCATTTTTCTACCGGAGGTAACACACATATATGGGTATGACAACACATTTTCCACCTGTTTGTATTAATCAGCCAAAAATGTTTTAAGTAGAAACAGCAATGGAATCAAAGATAGCCTTGGTGCAGTGTAAGGTTCAAAGTATCGATAAGTCTCTGTGTATTGGCAAAGGTGTATCAGTACTTAGAAATACATTCTTTTATATTTTTTTTTAGTGTTTTTTTCAAATTTAGTTTTTGAGGACTTATTTATACATATTTTTTATTAAAAAAGAGAGAAGTTCCAAAACACCTTTAAATAAGTGTATCAGAACCCCAAAAATACGATACGATACACCCAATATGAGACATATCATATCAAAATTTTGAACCTTGATGCAATGGATTTCCTACTTGTATAACCCTATTCTCCCTCTATCTATACATGTATAACTTCACTTTCAAATGCATTTACATGACACTTAGTTTTCAATATAAGAAAAGGGAGACAACATTGTATACTCTTGACCCGGACCAGACCTGACCCATTCATAAGTACCATCACCATCTGACATGGACGAGTCTGGATTTCCTAGACTAAGCAATCACAGTCTGACAGAATGTAAGAAGTGTAGGAAGTTGGGACTCCGGATGGACAATCTGGTTTAGCCATATCATTTATTGATATGATAGAAGATTAATTTGTCATGTTATCTCCCTGACTCCCCACCTAGAGGCCACAAGTTTGGGATACAAATTGGATTCAAAGGTCCAACTTTGTTGAAGAAACATAATTGTTGAATGACTCAGGCCACAAGACAAACAATTCGCTGGACCAGTCCCACTGAAGAAATGTCAATCCATGCCTTATTGTTTTCAAGTATGGAGTACTAACCAACTGAATTTTATCTAGCCAAAACTTGATCATTCAGCCAATCAATTCATTAACTCATTTTAGATTTTCCTATAAAAATGAACTGTGTATTAATTTAATGCTCATGCTTGTTCTCTTCATCTATTATTTTTTTATGGTCAAATAAAACCCTAAATTAACTTACTCCAGATTTGTTCAGTGTATCTGAGAGATCATCAAAGTTTGAAGGAAAATGCCTACATATCAAAACCTCCCTCAATGACTTAGCTTTCTGAGCAATACAATGAGCAAGATGAGAGAACTAATAAAATCCCTGGTGAAATGAAAATAAATCATTAGTTAACACTTACTAATCCATTTGCAAAATAAAAATACAATTAGTTTTTCAAAAATAAAAAATAAAAAACTGTGTACATGAGTATGTGCATGCATTCATTTGTTTTAATTCACCCTACAAACACTAGACGCTATACATTAAAACAAGATAGTAGGTTAGTGACAAGGTACACATGGGTCCATTCATAAGAGGGATGCAGTGTGACCACCTCAATTGGGGGAAAGGGCGGGGGGGTCATTGTCTTTGCATACAAATGGCAGCTAAAGAAAAAGGACATTACCTAGCTAGTGTTTGTTCCCCTTGCCATTTACAGGGTCTTAGGAGAGGTTGGAGGCTTTTAGACTCAAACAATTCTCACACTTGTTAGCAATAATAATTCCTCAAACAAGACAGTTATTATTCTTTAGGACAAATTCACAGCAAAAAAAAGGGATAATAACGGTTCATAAATTTGCATTGGGTCTGTCCTTACTTCTCCAAAAAAAAAAATTATAAAGACCCCAGTACTATGAATCCGGATCTGATCTTCACAAAGCGCTTCTCACACCAACCTCACAATGCATCTTAGTCGCACACTGGGCTTATGGAAATTATGGTCCATGTCCATAATTGCTTTTTGATTTATTAAGGTGGTGTTCGCTTCATGGTTTAGAAAAAAAGTAGTATGGTTCTGAACACATATATACCAAGTTTTTATTTATTTTAAAGTGATAATTAATGTATTTTTGTTGAGCTTACGGTGCGTGAGACACACCATATAATTGCTATGTCAAGTTTGTCAACTATGTTTCTTGGTTGAAAAAACTATAAAAAGTTGTGGTAGAAAATGTCTATATTTTATTAGTTTTAGAGCCAATAAAGGATACTGGATTCCAAAACCAGCAATAACATATAAATAACATACAGAACATGGTTGTATTTGTATATGTTTGGCATCGATGTTGCATATACAGCATTGTTTCTTGAGAAAACAGTGTCTTTTTTTTTGTTTGAAAATGTTGCTGCCAGGTAGGATATTTTCTAGGGCAACAGCAACACCTTCTATTTGGTACCAATGCTCCTTGTTGGCAGCAATGAGCTCCAAATTGAGAAAACGTTAAATTCGGTGTTTCCCTAGACAACACCTTCTCGATTTCTTAAGCATGGTTTTGAGCACTGCTTTTTATGAAAAAACAGTTCCAAACATGTTACCGTTTTATAGAGCACCGATTTTTCCAACATAATGCTAATATATCACTGCCTTTGTAAACCAAATAAAACACAAACACAATAAAAAATTGAATACCTCTTATTGTGTTTGTTTTTGCCAATCTTTTTTTTTTACAGGTAAAATAGATTATATATTAACAAAAACAGCAAATTACAAAGTCCTAGACATTATTTACAAAAGGCGGATAAGTATGTAGCAAAACATGCTCATGTGTAATATTTTTACTCCATTTTGCTAT